TTTTTTTTTTTTTTTTTTTTTTTACAAGTGTTTAAAAGATACGCATATTCTTGTCGAAATTAATTATTCTGCTTGAATAATTGTACGAATCTATTCATTTTAATTTAAATTGTAATGACCAACACGTAGAATATTTTTATACGGTTGTTCCCATTTCATTATTTATTTAATATTTTTGTTAACCAACCAAGTCAAGTATGATGTACACGCGTGATGTAAAAATGTTAAGAGTTTAAACATACCTACATCTTCTGGACATATGAAATATTTTATTATGAATATGAAATAAATATTTATTCGATATATTTGTAATATTATTTGTGCAATAAATATTACATATTGTAAATATATTAATATATTTACTCGATATATTATTGTATATTCACTGTTCTTTAAATTTCTAATAAGTAAACAAATTATTTTATTCTATCATCAATTACAAAATTATCAGTCTCATACTCTGGTACGAAGTGAACACTCAAAGGGTGAAAGAAGACCGAAGAATATCGAAGTGACAGTTGAAAATGTGTTTCAGTTCAGATAATTTTCGAATATTACAATATTCGAAAATTATCTGCAGGGAACTTGTTCACTGGAAGATAATTTTCAATATTTATTGCAAACCTATATTTAGTAAAATAAACAATCTTAAAGGATCTAATAATAAATGCCAAAGACGATCTAATATGACACGAGCAGAGTGGTAAGTAGAAACGTCCAGTCTGTGTAAGACTGTGATGTTCACACTCGTTACTTGATAATTCGTCACAGATGTGATCTGATCGATATATGACATTTTATTACTAACTATATATAACTATTAACTATTATTTCAATTACATATAATATTTCACGCTCGATGATACACGTATGATTCGTTTTGCTATCGTCATTTCTCGAACAGTGGCTCACGAAAATATTCGAACGCTCTGTACAAAACATATCAGTTTTGTACAAAGCATTTTCAAATTTCATTAACGCGTTAATCTAAAGTTACAATACATTTATTATAAACTGCATCTATTAAAAAAAATTAATAAATATTCAAGACGATTCTACTTGAATACTTATTAATACAATAGTGTTCAAATACTTTTGCAACCTTCGTGAAATATACAGAGGTAGGATTCGCAAACGACACAATCGTACAATCACGAAAAAAGAGAGTCCAGACTTTCCAGCTAGCGTTCGGACACTTTCGCGAGCAATGATAATACTTCCGCGCGGCATATTTTGCAAACGAAAAATAGTCTCGAGATACTGAGATATCCGTTCTCGTCGCTAGCTTCCTCGCGGCAGTTTCTTTTTCCCGCGCCTGCCGCGAATCATCTGTTTCGCGTTTCCGCGGTGCACGCGCGAGCAAGAAAAAAAAAAAAAGAAAGCAATCCTGCCGAATTGGCGAGGAACAACGGTATCGCGGCGAAAGCCGGGGCTCGTATCTTATCGCGTGACGCGGAGAGGGACGAGGAGAGCGCCACGCGAGCGAAAAGCCGCCGACGAGGAAGAAAGCGAGCCTCTCGCATTTGTAAATACAGCACGTTCTGCTTTTAAACCTATCTGCATGACACGCAGCCGGGCCTGCACTTTCGAGTTACGATCTCTCGCGCACGGAGTTTCGATAAATGCTAAACGCGAACACGTGAGCTTGCTCGTCGAGGCGCACTTTATTGCCCTGGCAGTCGAGGAGTCGAGCGTCGAGCGGTGAACGAGGCAGTTTTCTCTCTCTCTCTCTCTCTCTCTCGCACGCTCGCTCGCCCCCGTGCAAACGGCCCAGCCACCACCGTGTGCGCGCCTTCGTCATCACCGCGGTGGCTACACGTGCGCGCATTGCCTTATAAACTCGCGTTCGTGCATACGTACGTACATACGTGTCGACGACGCGACCGCAACCGTATTTTCTCTTCCTCCCTCGTGGCGGCCGACCATCGACCTACAGCCGACTGAGGATTTTTCCGCCTCGGACACGACGCACCTGCCTCGCTCTAATCGCGATCCGATCCGAGCCTACGTGTGCGTCACTCGTTGGCTTATCACTGTTCCAGCATCTAGTCCTCTTTCGTTTCATTTAGATCGGAAGTGAAAATGAAAGCATGGATAAGATGTAGGAAACACCACTGCGAAGAAGGAGAAGAAAGCTGTAGAGAGTTCTCCCTTCTTTTACACGCTAGAAGAGTGTCTTTAAACTTGGAATCTTAGAATAAAAGTTGCATGCTACTTTGAAAGCACAGGCCTTCAAATATTTATTTGACCAGATTTGTTGCTACTGGCACGACTTTGTTTTGCGAAATGCGCGACGATTTGAATATTTTCACTGTTCAAATATTAACGGGACTGTGTGCGTAAGTTTCGAATTTTTATTACAAAGAATTGAGCTCGGAAGAGTCGCAGGAGTGTAGCTACAGGAAAAAGCGACTGAGACACTGGCTCGTTCGTAACCGTAAAAGACGTGTCTGACTCGTACGGTTCGATCTACTCGTATGGTGGCGGACCGATCACGGATGTTCCGAATCCACGGCTGCTTCTTTATCCGATAGCAGTAAAATCGTATTCCGAAACCGAGCGTAAAGCCTCGGTGGACATTGTCGACCGAAGGAACACGAAAAAGGAGACCGTGCATGCGAAACGCGAATGCGAATAGCTTTAGCTTGTGTTGTACCTGCGTGCACGCGCACACACTATCTTTCGGACGAAACGAATTTTTTCGTACATTTAGCTGGGAAACTGAGAATTATAATTCTGATCTTTAAACGTAGCTGGTTGGAATTTAAGTATTACGACGAATGTAAATAAAAGTAAAAGTAATAATATTCATTTACCTGAAGAGATATAACGTTTTTGAAAACAACAGTGTACGTATAAATATCTGTAGCATTCCAATTAACTCTGATCGATTAATATCTTCTTACACAGTAAATTTCTTGTTTCTCAGCAGTGTAATATACAAAGTGTATATTTTAATTTAAAAAAAAAGGAATTAATAAGAATGTGTATATTAAAATTCCGTCTTCGAGAAACATATTCTTCACTTGTTTCGTGTTCAAATTTCGTAACATGTTTCTTCTTGATCAATTAAGTTACAACCTTTGCAATGGCTACAGTTTTTGTATCGTAAAATAATTTTCAAATCGTTCATTCGTTTGCGACGCTGCATCATTCATCGTATTAGATTTGATTCTTCGCGTCTGTTTCTCATTGAGT